CATGTGAAGCCTTCTTCTGTTCTTGGACAGAATCTTCATCACCCCAAAGGCTGTTTTGTCTATTTTTTTTTCTTTTTGCCTAATGGTCAACTCTCAACAGATGCTTTGAGGCAGTTTTCCATTTCCAAGTTTCCATCATTGACCTGACGTTGGGGCTGGTATAAAAAGAGATTAATACAATAGCACAATAAATGGTATATAGGTTGAACAGTGGCCTGACAATGCCAAGAAACTGAGTGAGATACTTAGTAAAAGTACTTTTACATGATCAATATTAATAATACAATATAAGGAATTTATTTCTACAAAGTTTCCATAATTTCACTCTTCCAATAGAAGTTATCTTTCATAAACAAATAAAAAAAAATAGAAACACCCCATCCCTCTATATGAAGGGACTAGATAAGAGGGATAGAAATACTTGAAAACAGATCTTTGAGAATAATTTAAACCAAGTTGCCATGAAGAGCTGCCAGTTCCAGCAACTGATAATATAGTAGAATGTGCTTAGTGCTTTAGGCTAATGTTATTTGCATGACCTGATTTAGCTTCATTTTAAAGTCAGTTTCATTCTGCTATGGTAATTAAAATTTAGCTGTCACCTTAAAGGATTCTGACTCTTGATTCTTCATTTCCTTTAGACCGTATGCCTCTGGGCTTCCGCTACAGGCTTTATCAAAATAGTTCTCATTGCAAAACAGGCAGATTGTCTTAGTTATGGCTATGTCAGTGGGAGTACTCCTTCCCATTGTTCTTCATTTTTTTATACTTTCATCCCAAATAAAATGATTATATTCTCTTGAAAGTTTAACTGTTAGATCAGAGATACAGTATATGATAGTCAGCCACCATGTTGTCAATGATCCTATGAAGAAGAGGAAGATGAGGAGGTCCTGTAATAAGGCTAGAAATGTGGTAGGTTCAATCTAGAATTAGGAAATGAGGGGTCTTTGGTGCTCTCTGGGCTTGGTTGTTTTCCTGTAGATGTTTCATTACCCACAATGAATGAAATTTCCTTACTAGCACTGGTGATGTTACCTAATCTGGGTAATGAAATATCTGCAAGAAAACAACTAAGAAAAAAGAGCACCAAGGACTTCTCACTTCAAACTTGAGCTACAAATACAGGCAGTCCTCGCGTTTCGACCACAGTTGAGCCCAAAATTTATGTTGCTAAGTTAAACATGTGTTAAGTGAGTTTGACCCGTTTTACAACTTTTTTTCACAGTTAAGTGAATCATTACATTTGTTAAGTTAGTAACATGGCTTTTAAGTGGAACCTGTGTTCCCCATTGACTTTGCCTTCAGAAAGTCTCCAGAGGGGATCACATGACCCTGGGACACTGCAACCATCATAAATATGAATCGGTGGACAAGCATCAGAATTTTGCTCATGTGACCGTGGAGATGCTGCAATGGTCATAAGTCCCTTTTTTCAGTGCCCTTGTAACTTTGAATGGTCACTAAATGAACTATTGTAAGTCGAGGACTATCTGTATTCTCCTTTATCAGTAGAATGAGGAAAGGCCAGGACTTCGTTTCTTGACTTTTCATCCCAGCTTAATTCTTCGCTTGAACTTCATTCCTCTTCTTCCTTCGAAATTTACTTACAATTTTATTTTCATCTCAGTCCAATGCAGTGGATGATGCATAGTTAAAACGCTGAATATTCTGAGATGACTCTGTTAGCTTCATAGTTGCACAGGGACTTGATCATGAGTCTCTCAGGTCCTGCAATCAACATTCAGCTCAGAATCCGATGCTCTCTTGGAGCTGGTTTACCTTGTGCATTATTCATGAATCTGCCAGGATTTCAGAAGAGGTCATTTAATCAAATATAGAAATAAATATAAGCTTAGACTTCCAAATTATGGTGAAATTCAAGACGTTAGTTTTAAAATGCTGATAGGCTTTTTTATTTTACTAATGAGAAGACACGAGTCAGCTATGGTAAAAGTCTGGTTTAAAGGAAAGACCAGTCACAGAGATGCGAGTGAGCAAGAATGAAGCATTTCCCTGTCTCGCTGATTTCAATGGTATATTTAGCTTTCCGATATAAACTTCCCTCCTGGGTACATATTTAGAATTTAGCTGTTAAAGATCTGCATAACTTTCCTTTTGAAACCAGGATTTAAGTATACCTGATTTCAATGTTTTTTGGATATACGGCATTGGATAATTTTCCAGTGGTACAAATAATAAAATTGCATCTTTATAAACTACAAATACCTGTTAAGTACCTTTGAGTAAGGCTTCCCTTTTATCCTCATTTCCAAAATGCCATGCATCATTTTCATTGGTATGTTTCAGCTGTTTGGTCCATGGATTTCTGCATTTTGGCTCCATTGAGATATATTTGTCTCTCTGATGTAACACATCCACATACATTTTCTTGTAGACATGTTGTGTTATTAAATGAAATCATGTTTGTGATTGTATATCTCAGTCCTTATACCTTTTGCCCTGTTGATTCCTTTAACTGGAAGCCAAGGAAGTCCCAAGAGTAATCACTGACAAGATCACAAGGGTAATCTGTCAGTTTCTAAGGCTTTTGCCTGTGTGTCATGTTCCCCCACCCAAGGGGAACGGAACAGCAGGCAGCACAGGAGTGATGATCGAAAGTACTACTAGCCATACCATGCTTGAAGTAGTTTGGAATGAGGTTCAATTAGTTTATTCCGATGAAATGAATTATGTATTTTATAGTAGCATCGGGTCAGGATGCACTGACCTCATTAAGGCAACACACAAAACAAATTGGAACAGCAGCACCTGGGTAAACATTTTAAAACATCAAATGTTGCTCCCAAAAAAATATTTCTCTAAAATGCAGGGCGGTAGGGTACTGAAAAGCCCATCTCCTAGTACGCATTAGCCTAATACTGGTGGGCCAGAGAATAGAACTTCAGACCCTTATCTAAACAATTGTACTGGAACATATAACGTATACAGGCAGTCCTTCAGCTAATATGGGTTTACACCTTAGAAGATGCGAATCTCAAACGAAAACTTTTAATTGAATTCTGAAACTGACAACAATAGCCATTGTCACAAATAGCAAATCATGATGATCTGAACACTTCGTGCTACGAGTGTACAGGTATTTCTCAGGTTACAATGCCCCTCGTTCATTCAGTGAGCATTCAAAGTTAAAATGGTACGGAGGGAGGGGGCTTACTCACAATTGTGTCCTCAAAATTGTGGCTGTCATAGGTTCCCCACAGTGCCATGATCATGATTCAGGCACTTAGCAACTCGCAATTACAGTGGTTGCAGTGCCCTGCAGTCATGTAGTTGTCATTTATGACTTTCCTGCTGACTTCCGAGAAGCAAAGTCAGTGGGGAGGCCAGCAGGTCACAAGTTTTTCCTGCAGCTTTTTCTCGCAAGGGGCCCCCAGGCAGCATGGGGATCTCATACTCTGTACCGCCCACCTGTCCATTTTCTGTAGTGCCTAGCCGTGCCTAGCCGTAACATTTGCACTTCATAGTGCTGGCCCATAGCATTCATTCCCTTACTTTGTAATGCCCTCCCTCACTTTGTAGCAGGGATCTCCAACCTTGGCAACTTTAAGACTTGTGGACTTCAACTCCCAGAATTTCTCAGCCAGCTTTGCTTTGGGAGTTGCTTTGGGAGTTGAAGTCCACAAGTCTTAAAAGTTGTCACAGTTGGAGACTCCTGCTCTATAGCACCTCTACAGTACCTGCCCGCCCAAACTCCATAGGACCTACATACCTGCGTGGCACGACAAAACCGCAGTCCACTAAAGCGCGCCCGATTAAAGCGTGTACCTGATGTCATCAGCAGCGCGACAAATACGACCGCGGAGAAAAAAGGGCGCTTTAAAAAGCGCTTTTAAAGCAAGCCGATTCACGTAAAGGTAAGGGTTAGGTTTAGGGTTAGGGTTAGGTTTAGGGTTAGGTTAAGGGTTAGGGTTAGGGTTACGTTAAGCGTTAGGTTTAGGGTTAGGTTAAGGGTTAGCGTTAGGTTTAGCCTTAGGGTTAGGGTTAGGTTAAGGGTTAGGTTTGGGGGGGTTAGGGTAAGGTTTTCGCGTTAATTTTAACTTTACCGCTCACAGCGTGATGTTTTCGTCGCGCTGTGATGACGTCAGGTACGCGCTTTCGTCGAGCGCGCTTTAGTCTACCGCGGTTTTGTGGTGGAACCCATACCTGTAGCTCTTTGCCTAAGCTACTTGCCTGGATGTGATTTCAGTGCCTCCTCCCACAAAACAGCCATGTCACTTAATGACCCTCACTTAATGATGGCAACAGGGACTGCCAAGACTATGTTGCTGAGCAGGACAGTCAAGTGAACACTTTGTAACTGAATCCTTTAGTGAAAAAAATTCCAGTCTCAATTACCGTCATAATCCAAGGACTACCAACCAAGACTTGCATACTAATATTAGCGGCAGTTTCCATGCTCCCTTCAGCGGGTCACAGAACATACTACTGTAATGAAATAAATTCAAGGCATGTGTTGCTGTGGTTATGTTCCCTTGGTAGGTAACTTTCCAATCAACCTACAATGGTTTTAAAAATCATAAAAGTGCCAGAATTTTTGATAGCGTAAACTGAATCCGGTGGTATGATTATCACTCTTATCTAGAATGAAATCTAAATAAAATTCTCATTAAGTGTGTTAGCTTTTGTCCTTCCAATTTTTTTCCCTAGACATCTGCCATGGGTTTCAGTGTCTCCTAGGGGAATGTTTGCTGTGCATAATTTTTGTGTGAAATGGATACAGCATCGGCAGTTTTTTTTAATGGTAATGTGCCGAATGTGCAATCTTGCACAACATTAGTAAGTTAGTGATTTATTTAAGGTGTTTTTTATTCTTGGTAAACCAAATCCCTGAATAGAAAATTCAGGCACGTGTATCAATTATCTTGGTGATTTTTTTTTCTATTAAAAATAAATAGATAGAAAGTTAAATTGATGCTTCACGTGATGAGCAATAATGTTGGATCGGGTTATTACTATATGTTGCTTGTCTCTTACAGCTCTACGCAGGAGCAATCCTTGAAGTGTGCGGATGAAAATTGGGGAGGTTCCCTCAGGTTCAGGGTAAGTGAAATTGCAATATTTCTCTTCCCAAATCAGTATCGTTACACCCCATCATTTGTTTAGATCATGAAGGAATGTCTAGTCCGACAAAGTATGTGCACATCCTCAAATAATTTATAAGGCATGGTCACACCAGTTGGGATTTCCTCCAGATTCTGAACTCTTGTTCCTATCAGTACTAGAGAGCATGGCCAGAAATGAAGGCTAATAGGAGTTGCAGTTCAGTTGTTATTTTTTGTAATCTTTCTTTCCCAGAATTCATACACTAATATTTTTCCATCCCGTCTAATTCGGGTTTCTTTTCTTGAATTAAAAACTGCCAGTCACTCTGGAACTTTCTTTTTTCCTATCCGGAGAGTGGAGAGGTGAGAATTTTGCTCTTCACTTTTCTGATAGAAACCAAATCAAAAAATGGATCGAGAGAGAAGTTGTCCTGGCCTTGAGTTGGTTTTTTTTTCTCTTGAATATGCAGTAGCTTTATGTACATGCATATAATGTGTGGGTTTTTAAACATCTACCTAACGTTCTACTTTGTTTTTATATAGATGTGCACGTGCATTGCACAGGGAGACAAGATATGTGTGTAAATGGTTTTATATCTTCCACTTTCCAGCATTCCCTCCCTTCCCTTCCCCCTCCCCACTATTTTTAAAATATCTCCCAGGCCAAATCATTCTGTCTATGCTAATTGAGAGTTGGCTACTGGAAACCCAGATAACAGGGTGGGAGGGGGGTTGCTGGCTGCTGTAAGAATACTATTATTCCTGACATGAGAAGGAGCACAAACATTAAATAAATTAAATATATAACGAAGTGTGATTTCAGAGTCCGAAACAACAGAAATAGAAGAAAACAGTAGCACCGGTAGCTCATGCACGTTGCAGAGCAGGAGTGAGAAGACATTTTGCTTTGCAAACGTTTAACAAGATTTCTAAGAAGCGTTGGGTGTAAGAGATTTTGTTGCAGTTGTTCTATTCAGCATCTCTAAGGTCTTAAATTGCAGCCCGCCCTTTCCTACGGAAGAAATACTGGTTTTGTTCTGAGGGCTCTGTTTGTTTCTTACATGTCACTTGAATAACTATAATTGAACATGAGGCTAGATGAAGGTCATTCTGTTGCTTCAAAAGATGGAATATTTTTAGATTGTTTTGGACTATAATAGTTTGTTATTGCAAAGACTCTCTCTTTTTTTTTAAGTTGACTTTTATATGGTGGGACCCACTTGTTTCTTTGCTGAATATCTCAAAGCTGGGACATTTGTTTTCTGTATTGCACATTAATTATTACTTTTTTATAATCATTCTTTCTGTTTAACTGGAAAGTCTTGATACAGGAATAGCTGTATCAAACTGAGAATCTGTAGAGATTCTCGGTCATCCAGGTCATGGTTGTCCCAAAGGAGGCAACTAGACTTTCTCGTTTTTTCTTTTGAAGACGTTTCGCTTCTCATCTAAGAAGTTTCCTCAGCTCTGACAGGATAGTGGGGAATGACAGGATTTTTATTCCTTGCAGACAGCTGGTCATTTGCATCCTTTTAGAGGGTTGTTGAAGCACTTGGAAGTTTATCGATGTCTTCAGGGATACCTGAGTAGTCCTCCTGGTTCCTGTAGTCTGCAATTTGTTTTCCTCCAGAAATCCATTCCTACTCCCACACCATTCAAAGGGTATTTATCCCAAATTGTATAGCTAAAAGTCTGTAGAGATTCTCAGTCATCCAAATCATGGCTGTCCCAAAAAGTGCTTTTTCAGGAGGCAAATGGACGTTTTTGTTTTTTCTTTGGAAATGTTTCACTTCTCATTTCGATGAGAAGCGAAATGCTTTCAAAGAAAAAAGAAGAAAGTCCAGTTGCCTCCTGAAAAAGCACCTTTGGGTGTATTAAATTGAGTTGCCGAAAACAAAACATCAGGCCTACATAATTTTAGGCAATCTGTCCTTGTCACTAGTGCGAAAGTCCTACAGAATAAAATCCTTTTTAGTGCCTTATAGGCCAGCAAGTTAAAGGGCCCATGAGCCTCAGAAAGAAATGTGCTCCAAAGCAGGCGGTTGCCATTGAGAAATAGTTAGATTCCTTCACCTCAGGATCTTCAGCAGATTTTCTTGGGAAGAGTGCACTGGAGAGATCACATACGTCGTAACAATGGTCATAAGCGTGAGGACTGGTTCTTAAAATTATTTTTACAATGCCATTGTTACTTTGAAGCTATTGTTAAATGAGTAGGGCACTACACCTGTAGTGTATCAACATTTAATTATTTTATGTTATCTGTAAGAAAGCCAAGATGATCTCTGCTGAGTTCATCTTTTAAAATAACTGAAAGTAATACTGAGATTTGAAATACTTTCTCAACAGTCAACAGTATTTCCCTTCTCACAAAAAGCATGACTATTTTTTTTAATTTCAAATTTTTGTTTTAGCTGAGCAGAAGCATTTTCTTCACCAAATTCGGCTTATCTTTTTAAGTTCCTGGAATTAGAACAGTTGCTTCTCAAATAGAGAGATTGTCCACCAAAGATTATTTTTGGGTTATAAAATTAGTTATTTTAAGGTTAATTCTAGTTTTACAGCTGACTGTAGGTTTCTTTTACCAACATCTGCTATGCAAGCCCTTCATCTGAGGTTTCTCCTTACTTCTGTCAGCTTTTTGTTCTTTTTTATTGTTTCACTGCTTTCTGTCTCTTTTCTATCAATTGAATAAAAGTTCGGTCTACTGTATTATAAATTGGTAGACAATAGTAGAAACGTTGCCGCTCTTCTTCTCCTTCTTCTTCTTCTTCTTCTTCTTCTTCTTCTTCTTCTTCTTCTTCTTCTTCTTCTTCTCCTCCTCCTCCTCCTCCTCCTCCTCCTCCTCCTCCTCCTCCTGCCCCCTACCCCCTACCCCTTCTTCCAAAAACTTCCTTTCACACATGGACAGACATCACTTCTGCCTGAAACATGCATGTCCCCCTGAATCTAGCTATTAAATGCATGGAATATTTTATACAAATAGCTTTGTAAATTCCCTGTCTATTTCCTCATTTTAACCTGTTGCTGTTATGACACAGGTTCATTGCTTCTGTGTTAGGACAAATATCTCTTTTCTTTCAAGCAAATATATCCATTTATTATAGTGGAAACGGCATTTTTCATCTAGCATCATTTTTCCTTTTTTAAATTAAAATTCTCTGCTGCTTATTCATCCTCGGATCACATATTGAGAATGCCTCAACAGAAAATAAAGCAGGTTGTTTACTGCCTTTTTTTTAAATCCAGAAGGTGCCTCAGTTCATTTTTGCTAGTATGAGGAAGCTGCCAACTCTACAATATGTCGTAGAGGTTTGAATTGACATCACACAGAGCTGGAGATCAGCACTGTTATTTCTATCATTCTATTTCATTTTGTTCTTGGCATACTAAGATGTGGTCTGCTAATGTTCCCGAAAAAGCAAAAGAGAAATCTGTCTACAAAGGAATATCTTTGAGTTGATGAAATGTTCCATACCACTGTGATAAACATTGCAAGCTTTTAATCCTTCAGTCAACAAAGCAAATTTGCATCTCATCTGGATAACTTAATGCTGATCTCCCAGATTGTTGCTGAGTTTACTCATTGCATTACACATAATAGGATTTATTTGGATTTGATTTAGCATACTGTGTGAACTTAGCCATTGTGGTTGATATCCCATACTTCATCACTTCGCATGATATATATATAAATCCAGCCAATGTTTGTGATACGAAGGGGACAAGAGCCCCCCAACGTAGCTTTTTTTCCAACCCATGTTGTGAAACATCCTCTCTAAAACAGCAGCCTTCAACCTGCTGGGCACCAGGGACCGGTTCTGTAGAGAAAGATTTTTGGATCTTTGGATTAGTTGCTGGCATGCTACAGACTGGTGCCGGTTCATGGAATGGGAGCTGGGGACCCCTGTTCTAAAAGCTGATTTGATCCTCTTAGCAATGGTTTCCCATAGTTTGTGAAGGTTGAATTTTTTAAAAGGAACTTTGGATATTGTTTAAGTGCCATCTGGAATTGGCTTTTATTTGTTCATGTATTGTTATTTCTTGATATATTTTTTTTAGTTTGGTGATTTAGATTTGCTGATAATGGTAATTTTATTTCTTTTTTGAAGACTGCTATGAGACAATTACAATTCCATGGCATATAAGTAAATTTAAGAAATAAATAGTTGTTGATTATTCAACAGTCATGGTTTAGTGTTATATGCAAATCTAACCAGATAACTAACACATGCAGGGACTCAGATTTCCTGAGGTTGCCTGTCTGCTTTCTGTACACTCAGGTGACTTAGCACTTATACATTGGCCAGGATGATAGACTACAATACCATGGCTATGAATATACTGTACCCTTGTTTCCACGAAAATAAGACCAGGTCTTATATTAATTTTTGCACCAAAAGACCATTAGGGCTTATTTTCTGGTTAGGTCTTATTTTCGGGAAAATACGATACTAAAATACGCTAGTACTGGCTGATCTTAACTGGGGCTTATTTTGGGGGTAGGGCTTATATTGCAAGTGTCCTCAAAAATCATGCTAGGGCTTTTTTCCAGTTACCGTATTTTTGGAGTATAAGACGCACCTTTTTCCCTCCAAAAAGAGGCTGAAAATCTGGGTGCATCTTATACACTGAATACAGCATTTTTTGCCTCCCGAGATCCCACCCCTTCACCAAAATGGCCGTGCTGAGCCTGTAGAGGGCCTTCAGAGAGCTCCTGGGGGCTGGGGAGGGTGGAAATGAGTGAAAAACGGGATGTTTTTTGCTCGATTCCCCCCCCCCCGGAGCACTCTATAGGCCTCCTACAGACTATGCATGCAAATTTTTTGACAAAAATACCGGCCCATTCTCATAAAAAATGAGCAGTTTTTTGCTCATTTGGGAGGGCATCCCCAGGAGCACTCTGTAAGCCCCCTAAAGGCTATTCATGTCTTTTTTGGGGAAGAAAAAAAACGGGCCCGTTTTAGGAAAAACTGGCCCATTTTAGGAAAAACTGGGCCGTTTTTGGGAGTTCTGCAGAGTGCAAAACCTTTTTTTTTTTAATTTGCATCTTCAAAACCTTGGTACATCTTATACTCCAGTGCGTCTTATACTCTGAAAAATACGGTAGGTCTTATTTTCAGCAAGCACCATGGTCCTAAAACAAAGCCAACAAAGCTGCTTCAGTGGTCATTGTTTGCTGGACACAAGTCCCTGCTTGTTTCCAAGTGACCAAAATGCATGAGACCATCAGAACTGAGTCATAAGTAGCTCTGGCAAGGTTCATCATAATGTCAAACAGTTGGTAGGCAAGGTCTACTTGTAAAAACATGCTTAACATGAAAAATAATTATGTAGGGAAAACGAATAAGGAATTACTGTGAATACTTTAGAGCAGTGTTTCTCAACCTTGGCCACTTGAAGATGTCCGGACTTCAACTCCCAGAATTCCCCAGCCAGCTGGCTGGGGAATTCTGGGAGTTGAAGTCCGGACATCTTCAAGTGGCCAAGGTTGAGAAACACTGCTTTAGAGTGATTAATACAGGTAGTCCTTGACTTATGACTACAATTGAGCCCAACATTTCTGTTGTTAAGTGAGACAATGAGTTTTGCCCCATTTTACAACCTTTCTTGCCACGGTTGTTAAGTGAATCCCTGCATCTGATAAGTCAATAACCCGGCTGTTAAGTGAATCTGGCTTCCCCATTGTCTTTGCTTGGCAGAAGGTCACAAAAGGTGATCGAGTGACCTTGGGACCCAGCAATGGTCATAAATATGAACCAGTTGCCAAGCATCTGAATTTTGATTACATGATCATGGGGTTTCTGCAACGTCATAAGTCACATTTTTCAGTGCTTTTGTAACTTTAAACAGTCTCTAAATGAACTGTTGTAAGTCGAGGACTAGCTGTCAATGCTCTCTTTTTTCATATCCTGTGGAACTAATTATAAATTCAATGGCTGTCCGTTTTCCTCAGAAGGTATTCGCTCTCCTTTAGTTATCTTTAACATGTAATGCTCAAAGTAGCATTCTAAAATCCTTTTTGCCTTCCAGTGAGATGTTTAAATCAGTATGTAAAAAATATGAATCCCTTAATGCCTAAAAACAGATACCGTATTTATCTGGAGAAATTAAGAAATATTTGGGATGTCTTTTTCTTTCCTTTGAATTCTAGCTTTTGTCAAGAGCGACAAGCCCAAACTCTTCAGGGGACTGCAGATTAAGGTAAGGGCCGATTTTGACTGGTTTTGGTACTGTCTTTTTGTTTTATTTTTAATTAAAAACTCAAAAAATATCTTTCTGGCATGAAATATTATAAGACATTTAGAAACCTTTTGTGCGTTTTTGGGCATTTCAACTAAACAAGGCAGGAACATGATGGGCCATTTTCTAACCACTTGCTGAGAGCATTTTCCACAAGAATGTGCGCACACGCAATCAGAGTGTGCCTGACAACAACAACAACAAGACCCCTCCTGGTTCACTGGCCAAAATGGAAGTAGGGAGAGTCCAAATATTTTCTAGTAGGAAAATCTGTTTTCCAACCCAGCTGCATTCCAGCTTTTATACAGAACGAATCATGGCACCTGTTTTGGTAAGAAAACTTTGTATAGCAAGTTTTCTTTCAAAGTTTGTTCCCCTTTATACGTTTTCCCCTTGTTTGTGATTTCATTTCCTTTCTCAAGAGAATAAACTCTTGTTTATTCGTAACAACCATATAACCATAGTATGTTTCTTTTCTTTAATGTTTATCAGCTCTAAAGGGTGCTAGCTGACACTTAAGTTTGCAATCTTTTTGCTCTTTGTTTTCCCTTTTTTCTCCCTTTTTATGGGAGAAAAAATAGGCACCCTTCTAGTAATAGAAGGGTGGCTATAAAACATAGATTCAGACAGAATAGAGAGAATTATATATATTTTGCATCAAAAGATGCAAATGATACGTTCAATCAATAATAATCAAAAATAGGGACTGACTTAGTTAGAGAGCCAAGGTGGCGCAGTGGTTAGGGTGCAGTACTGCAAGCCACTTCAGCTGACTGTTATCTGCAGTTCAGCGGTTCTAATCTCACCGGCTCAANCATTTTATTAGAGACGAGTTGATAACCCGGCGTTGCCCAGATATTTATTTATCCTAATCCATACATTTGTCCTCAAAAATAATCCCGAACCAAATGTAATTTCTAATGTTGGATTTTCCTCCTTAACAGAGGCAGTCCCCTTGTGGAGTACTGGGATGCCGTTACCACGGCATCTCCACCGCTCTGTACAGTAGAAGCCATTTTAAGGCCCAACAGGCTGTATCTTAACAGAATACGTGCACCGAGAGGTGTTAGGGGTATCTTATCCCCACAGTATTTGTTTCCAGAGAGCAAGTCATCTGTGCGCGAGGCATTCCAGAGTTATGCTGGAACGAACACACACACACACACAGTCATTCATTAGATAGATAGATAGATAGATAGATAGATAGATAGATAGATATAGATATCTATATCATTTTTGCTGATAAACAAATGAAGGAAGACTAGTATAGATCTATTTCAAGCTATTTAGCTCTCATCAGCTAGCCATATCCTTACTGGGATTCGAACCTGGACTGTTTTTACATATTAGGCATTTATATTAACCTCTAAGCCACAGGCTCTCCTCCCTTATCAGCTGAGCCAAGGAAATGATTAAGTGTTATGTCAAAGCACCTCGTATGCCCAAATATGGGAGGGAGCATACTGCTTCCCTTATATAGAGAGGGGGGGAGGGAGAGAGAGGGAGGGAGATGTCATGGCACATGAGGGAAAACCCGAATCTGAAAGCTTTCAGGTTTTCCCCACCCAAACGAAGGTCCAAGCCCCTGCCCAGCCCCCACATGTCCGTCACATGGTCCAATCAGGCACCGTCCCAACTGGAGATGCTTCCCAGTCACTCCACTCCAGGTGCAGGGCGAGACCTCCTTGACTCTCTGAGAAAGGAATGTTATTTTGACTATCACACTCCACTATCACACTTCCCCACAACCCAATTTCCCACAGCATCCAATGTGGCAGGTCTGAAGGCCCAATGCGAAAGATGCCTTCCAGGCCTGACCTCTTTCCTTTAATACAAATCTTACGGGATGCTCTTTTTCCCCTTCCTTTGCAGGAAGCCCTGGAGGCCGAATTTTCAACAAAGCTGGATATGACTGCACTTTCGGCAACTTTGCCTACCAAAAGACCATTCGTATAATCATTCTGGTGCGTGCAAACAGGGAAGATTATTGTGGCTGTTGTGCCTGCTGGTTTCTTCCCTTGACAGAACGTACCATATTGTATATAAATTTATTTTTCTTCCTGGGACTACATCATAGCATTCAGTCTTGCTGAATAACCTTTTTAACATGGGGATTTATATAAGCAATTGGATTAGGCCGTCACCCTATTGTGTGCTGTAAAATGGTATTGCATCTAACTCATTCACAGAAGAATAACTGTAAGTATTCCCATTACTGACAATAAAGTATTATTTATTTATAAAATTCATCAGCCGCCCATCTTACTACTCAGTAACTCTGAATGGCTAAGATTCGTGATGGCGAACCTATGTCACGTCTGCCACAGGTCTTTCCGGGCACATGAACCTCGCCCCAGCTTAGATCCACTGCGCATGTGCGCGCCTACCACCAGCCAGCTGATTTTCAGGTTTCTGCTGCGCATGGGCAGGGGGCGTGCGGGAGATGCATGCCCATGCGCAGGGCCGGGGTAGTGGTGCGCACA